AACAATAGACAAGAAAAATAAATAAACTTATTTTTCTAATTTACAGCATTCAAAATTTCTAACATAGATAAAATATCACAATTTTTATTAAAAAGATTATTTTTCAAGATAATGAGGTCACGTCCGCATAAAATTTATTGCGCCTAAAATTCATGATAATAAGCAGAAATAATTATTTCATTTTATTTTTAAAAAGAATGGATTATTTTTCGAGACAATGAGGTCACTTACACACAAAACTGATAAAATAAAGATCCTAGACGGAAATATCACTATTTATTAAAAATAGACTATTTTTCAGAAAGACGATGTCACTTACCCACAATTATTTGAGAGGGAGCTTCCGATAAAAAAATATTCTATTCGAGAGAGAAGTTCACTGTATTTCGATCAGAGAGAGAGATCTCAAAATTTTGTTTTAGGGTGGGAGTGCTCACATCCCCTATTTAAATTCTTATAACGTATTATTATATTATTTTCTTATATTATTTTCTTACGCTCTACCTCATACCTGAGGTGTCGCGTTAAAAGCAGACTTTTATCGTACGAAAACCACGTCCGCTAAAGGACGCTGCCAGCTGCAAGCAGCAGGAGGCAAAAGCGGGCAAAGGAAAGTAAAGGCAAAGCATAAGTTAATCCAAAGCAAAAGTTTTTAAAAACAGTGATGGTCCCCAAGGACCATCATATTCAAACAGAACATCACCTATTTATAACCATATTTTCTCTTCTTTTTTTTTTTTTTTGAAAATTTTAGGATTGTTACAATTTTCAGGAGGACGATGTCACTTACCCACAAATTTTAGGATTGTTACACTCTTACTTCTATAAAGCCCTTCTCTCTCTCTAGAAGTTTGGGGTGATGATTTTTAAAAAAGGCACGTCTTTTTAAATTTGTTTGGCCTAAAAAAACAGATTTAATTTGGGAAATTATCGCCAATATACGTTCATTTTAAGAAAATCGTAAAAAACACTCGAACTTTCCAAAACCTCGCCCACACCCTTTTCCCAAATTTTTTCAATTTTTTGGACGAAAATACCCTTTACGATAGTCTTTCTACTGTAATACATTCAAAATGTATTATAGAAAGACTACTTTAATAGTATAAAGATGCATTACGGTACTTCAAGTATCGTAATGAACATTACAGTAATTTGAATACTGTAAATAATATTACATTCAAAACGTATTATAGAAAGACTAATGTAATAGTGTAAAGATACATTACGGTACTTCAAGTATCGTAATGAACATTACAGTAATTTGAATGCTGTAAAGAATATTAAGGTACTTTAATTACCGTAATACATGAATATATTCTACACGACATTCTTAGTACCGTAATGCTTATCAGCGCTACCCCTCTCTTCTTATACTCTGCGAAATCAAGAAAAAAATCCATATGGAACTTCCTTTTTAGTCTAGAAAAGCCTCAAAATATGAAGTTGGATCTCATCAAGAGCCAAATTTTGCTAACCCCACTCCCCTTGGAAAGAAAACTCTTTTTTCCTGCCGCTTTTTCAAGTCCAAGAAGAAGGATTTCGAGCTCCCCGACTTCATTTTCAGGCAAGCCAAGTGCCCTTTTGATTTCTAGGGGGCAAAGACCTTTGCAGTGTCCTCATAAATATAAGACTCACTTCGAACCAAAGCTCAGTGAAGTATCTAGACAACTGGAAAGTTATATATCCAAACAGGCCCTCGGCTCAATGTTGAAAAAGGGAAGGGAATCATCAGGATGTGCCAGTTAATCGCAGTAGGGATTTATCTTCTTTCTTAGTCTTCCAGAAAAAATTCTATATACCAAGATTATTGATTTTTTGCTTAATTTATGATAGTTTTTTTTATTGGAAATTGGGTGCTTTATTAAGGGAAAGGATCCTTCTTCACGATGAAGAGGTTTTGTTCATTTTATTGGTTGGTGTAGAAGTGGATTTCTACCTACACGAAGCTTGTAGGCAGTCATAGTTCAAATTATCTTTCATTGAAACCAAAGCCCAAAAATACCTTTTTTTCATTCAACTTCTTACATACATCAGCTGCGAACAAGCCCGTGACACATGCCTTAAATGAAAATGCTCGAATACACATATATTTGCAGCACTTTCTTGGGGTCAGAGCTTTGAACAATTGCTATGACACATTCAAGAATGAAAACAAAACTTCAATATAAAAATTGCCTGTGTCGTGGCTATCATTCAACCATGACCACAAATGCAAAGGCCACATTTTCTATCCAAACTACTGCACGCACGCACAAGGGATAGCGCTGACTAAAACGGCAGCCTCATCTGGTTTTTTTTTCTTGATTTTGCAAGAGTGTGGGAGGAGAGGGATAGCGTTGATATTAATTTCGGTTTGAAGTTTTTCAAAGCATTACTATATTAAAAATGTTGTGTAGAATATTCATGTATTACAGTTATTAAAGTACCGTAATATTTTTTACGGTATTTAAACTACTATAATGTTCATTACAATACTCGAAGTACTGTAATGTATTTTTACTCAATTACGACAGTCTTTCTACCGTAATATATTCAAAATGTATTAGTCCAAAAAATCTAAAAAATTGGGAAAAAGGATGTGGGCGAGGTTTTGGGAAGTTGTTTTTACGATTTTCTTAAAATTAAGGTATATTAGTGATAATTTCCCATTTAAATTATCTAAAGGGGTTAGAAGAATAAAATCTACAATTTTTATGTCCCAATATATCTTTTAAAATACTGGTTCTAATGAAACCTAAAAACATGAGGTATGGAGATATTTTCTCTTATTATTATTTATTTGTTTATGTCGAGACATGGTCAAGTCTCGGTTCGATATTCTAAAAATGACACAAGTCTGGGCACGTCTAGGACCCAATAGGGGTCGGTTGAGTCCAGATAGGGCCGGTTTGACCTAGACTCAACTGACCCATCAAAACCCCTGATTTAGCAGGACAATATGGTGATTGCTCCAACAAGGGCACTGTGGATATCCGAGAGAAGACTAGGATGCATTCATTATATTAATAAAAGTTTGGGGGTATTATAGTAAATATTCCTTATATAGAGGTGGGTCCCGCTATTTCGGGGTGCGATTTGTATAGAGCCTAGGCTCTAAACAATCAAATTAGAGCCTACCTTCAAATATTGTTGAGAAATGTGGTTTCTATATTGAAAATCATTGTGGTAGCCTTAAAATATATTTTCATCGTTATTTATAAAGTTTAAAGCCTAAAAAATAGTATAGATTGAGCATATCTATAAAACCCTGAAAAAAGTTTTGGGGTATTACCGTAGATATTCCTTATATAGAGGTGGGTCCCGCTCTTTCGGGTATGATTTGTATAGAGCCTAGGCTCTAAACAATCAAATTAGAGCCTACCTTCAAATAGTTTCAAGAAATGTGGCTTCACTATTGGAAAACTTTGTGGTAGCCTTAAAATATATTTTCATTTTTATTTATAAAGTTTAAAGCTTTAAAAAACAGTATAGATTGAGCAGATCTATAAAACCTTAAAAATTGACGGTCAAAAAATGTATTACAAAATACACAATTTCCAAAACTTGAAATCCAATTTTTTGTCATGTCCATGCATCTTGATAGATCAATTTGAGAATATTCGAGTATCAAAACAACATTTTCTAGTGGAATTTTTCAGTTAGGATCTAATTGGATTGTTTAGAGCCTGGGCTCTATTTAAATATTTCCCTTTTCTAAAGGGTGCGGTTTGTATAGAGCCTAGGCTCTAAACAATCAAATTAGAGCCTACTTTCAAATACTGTCGATAGTGTCGAGGAATATGATTTCAATTCTGAAAATCTTTGTGATAGCTTTAAAATATATTTTTTATCTTTATTTACAAAGTGCTTTAAAGCTAGTGTAGATTGACAGATATATGAAAACTTGAAAATCTTGAAAATTGATGGTCCAAAAAATGAGTTACAAATACACTATTTCCAAAACTTGAAATCGATTTTTTTCTAATATCCATGCACCTTGATGTCGAGATGATAAATTTGGGCATCAAAACAACCTCTTCTATTGAAAGTTTTGAGGTAGGCTCTAATTTGATTGCTTAGAGTCTCGGCTCTATATAAACTTATCCTTTTTCTAAATGGGTGAGGTTTGTATAAGGTGTCAACCTTAAACAATCATGGTAAGGTGCACCCCAAAATCGCGTTATAAGAAGTATTTTTGGTGCCGAAACTTTCATCATGTCCTAATAGTCTATTTTTCACCTCTACCATGAAATTGAAAGGTAAAAAAATGGTACAAATCTAGGAGATATATGAACACTTGAAAATCTTTAAAATAGATAGTTTGGATAATGTGGTACAAGATATACTATTTTTAAGACTTCATTCATTTTTTTCTTTCATATCCATATACATAGAGGTCAAGATGATAAATTGGGGAATTTTCTAGTGACGAAACGACATTCTCCAATGGTTTTTGACGTGTATTTTATTTATACAGTATAAGGTTGTCACCTTATAAAAACTTTTTCATTTCTAAATAGCGGCCTTTTAAATCCAGCGCCAAAAGCCCTGTTCCCTCTTCGCCCCGTGCTTCTTAGCATTTCTAGGGTTTTATATTTTTGTTTCATTTTATTAATGTTAAAGTAAATTAGTATCCATTTTCAGTTTGGTAGATAGCAACAACTGGTTCTCTCTGTTTCAGTCCAGAAGCCAGCCCACAAGATGATGAAATTCTCACATTTTTCTGCAATCAGGTGATTATTGCTTCTATATTAGCTATCTCTAGCTCTCTCTTTCTTGTTGATCTTATTAGGTAGTTTAAATGGAAATTTAATGGAGGTGTATGGACTGCAATGCCTATTACACCTCCCTCTTTGTATATATGCCTGTTTCAGTATTTCTTCTCTCTTTCTCTACAGATGCTCTATTTCTCTATCTTTTCTGACTTTATGTATGTCTCTTTTAGTCCCTCTGTTTCTCTATATATGGAGAGAGAGATGGATGGCAGAGTTTTCGGGTTCAATTCATTAATCTCATATCCATAGTTGTTAATAATAATACTATTACTATTATTATAATCATAATTATTGTTATTGTTATTGTTGCTGTTCTTGCTGCTGCTGTTGTTATTTGAGTTTTATTGGGGTATTTTATTGTATAATGGTAATTATTTATTCCATTTTATTACTTCAGCGTAGTTTTTTTTAATAATTTGTATGGTTCATTTTTCTTTAAATGTTCTTTTTTTTTTTGGTTATTTTTAGCTCAATTTCTTCATCTAAAAATTAAGATAAAACATTATCATTTAAAAATATTATACAGTAGATATTAGTTTGACAAGGATTGCATCCATGTTGATTAGATGAACTTGTTTTGTGTTATTGAAGTAAAACACACATTATTAGAAGCCAAATCAGTTGCAGTGTCCAGGCCTTTTTTTTTTTTTTCCTTTTGGCAAGTAATAACCTCTGGTTATCGAGAAACAAGAGAAAGCTAAAAATATTATACAGTAAAAATTAGTTTGACAAGGATTGCATCCATGTTGATTAGATGAACTTGTTTTGTGTTATTGAAGTAAAACACACATTATTAGAAGCCAAATCAGTTGCAGTGTCCAGGCCTTTTTTTTTTTTTCCTTTTGGCAAGTAATAACCTCTGGTTAACGAGAAACAAGAGAAAACTAAGGAAAATTGGGAGATCCTATAGTGGTAGAATATCCCATCTAGTGTTTAATTATCATCCTTTGTTTAAGAGAAGGGATAATTTACATAAGTCCACTTTTATTTTTGAATTATTATTCTATTTGAGCCTTAAGTTACGTAAGCCAACTTGGTGCTCAAGTTTGAGACTCAACTAGGCTTTCTGCCGTCCACATGGTTGGTGGAAGGCTTAAAGATGTTACTAATGCAGTGTAGGGAAGTGACTGTGGCAGTTTTTGGCATATGTTTCTTCCCATGTATGTTCTTGAATGAGAGGAAATGTGCATGCCAAAGCAAAGATAGGTAATAACAATACTTAAGTGGTTTATTAAAGGTGTCGAAAAGGAAGTGGCAATGACACTTTGTGGAGGAGGAAGGGAATTTTTGAGGGGATTTGGTGGGTAAGGGGTTGGGGGGCCTAACATGGTGTAAATGTCTAGGTCACTAGTTTTGTATTTTGGGTCATCAATATATTAGGTAAGAGTCCACGAGGAGTTCTGGTTACGTGGCACAAAAAAATAGAATAGGTTTTAGGAGGTTTTTTTTGAGATAAAGTTAACATTGTATTACTGAAATTGTTGTGTACAAAGACTTGGTAAGTCCGAGTTCACCCGCTAGGTGTGGATCGGTAAAAAACAGTCAGCGTATCATATACAAAATTGCCAACTAATACGCTATGTTGAAGAGCTGTGCCAAGGTCTTGTGCAAAAAAGGAGTTGACCCCGGCTTGATCCTGTACTTGCATACTAGCTCCTTCTTTCGCCAAGCGATCTGCGAAGTCTTTGGACGTCCTCCAAGAAACGTCCATATCCCTGGAAATATGGTCAATTTCATCAAAGATAGTGGTTAGGCACCATGGCGGAGAGGTAGTCCTACCAGCCCATGAGAGAACATTTTTTGAATCTCCTTCTATGATGAGGTGTAAGCCCCAAGAGCGGTTGAACTTGTTCAGGCCTTGTAGAAGGGCCAAGGCTTTTGCATTTCGTGCATCCTTGAAGCCAAGATACTTTGAGAATGTAAGCAGTACGTTGCCTTGGTGGTCTCTAAAGATCCCCCCCAGCCCTAGCCAGGCCAAGATTCCCGAAGGAACAACCATCGAAATTTAACTTAATGATTCCTTCTGGTGGTGTTTGCCAAATGCTGGATGTTTGTGGCTGTCCTGGGTGGTGATGGAGGATATTTTCCATTGGGAAAGAACAAACTCCTTGGTATACCCGAGTAGACTTTGTGGTTCGAGGCCCAGAAAGTAACCATGGAAATTGCCTTGTGCAGGAGTGTTGAAACTTGTAGTTTTGAACCTTGGAAGATTATGTTGTTTCTTTCCACCCAAATGAAGGTTGCCACTAAGGTAGCCTTCCAAAGACTTTGCCAGCCTTCGGCCATTGAGAATGTAGATCATAAGAGATGAGCGCTTTGACAGTAGGGGGAGTGACCCATTCGATGCCAAAGAGTTGCAATACTTTGCCCCAAAATTCAAAGGAGAAGTCACAATGTATGAATAAGTGGGGATTTGACGCCTTCTCATATTGGCATAATGCGCATCTATTGGGGATAGGAATCCCTCTCTTTTGGAGGTGGACCGTTGTGAGGGCTCTGTGGGAGCAGGCTAGCCAGTTGAAAGTTTGGACCTTAGGTGGGGCGATGGTAGACCACACTTTCGATACCACCGAGGTGGGGTTGCCTGGAAAGGTGGGAGGCTGAGAAAGGATTTTATAGAAGGAGGCAACCGAGAACGTGAGTGGGTGTCCAAACCATAGCGTCTCTCCCTTGGTTAGGAATAAAGAGAGAGTGAAGGCCTGTTATGAGCAATTGAAAATGGTTGATCTCCTCTTCTGTTAGGTAATTAGGTTCCTCCGAAAAGATGGATTCTAGACTTTTCTTCTCCTGATAAGACCAATTCCTCAGCCACTGTTGATTCTTTGTTTATGGCCAGCGAGTAGAGAGCTGGGAACACTTCCCGCAGAGGTGATGTACCTTTCCATAAGTCTGACCAGAATCTCACACGGGAACCTTCTCTAGGGTGAAATCTAATGTATTTTTGAAGCGAGACAAGGCCGAAGAGAGGGATTTCCATGCTCTTGAGACGTTATGTCTCTGGTTCTTCTCTGGCACCGAAACTCCTTCAGGTATCCTGTACTTGTTCCTTAGGACTTGAGCCCAAAGAGAGTCAGGCCGGGTTGCTAGACGCCGCCACCACCACTTGCCTAAGAGAGCGAGGTTATGTTTTATGAGTACCTTGATTCCTAGACCTCCCTGGTTTTTTGGAAGACATATGTTATCCCATGCAACCAGATGGATTTTTGTCTTCTCTGCTTGCCCTGACTATAAGAAATTTCGCATGAGATGGTCCAAGCGATTAGCCACTTGAGCAGGCATATAAAATAGGCACATGAGATAGACTGGGGAGTTTGATAAGGTGGCTTTAATTAGGGTCGACCTCCCTGCCATAGAGAGGAGACTACCTTTCCAACCTGCTAAGCGTCTGTGAACCCTATCTAAGACTTGGGACCATTGTTATTTTTTGGGTTTGCCTAGTCCAAGAGGGAGTCCGAAACACGACTTTACATTCCCAGTTTGGAATAAGCGTTCTTATCTCTGCATGTGAAATTGCTACTCTCATCATTTTTGATTTTTCCATGTTGAATTTGAAACTTGTTGCTGCTTGGAAGCATTTGAGGAAGAGATTTAGGGTATCCACTTCACTTGAAGAAGCGTCTAAGAACACCAAAGTGTCATTTGCATATTGCAGATGGGACACTGTTGGGCCGTGTCTACTGCTCCTGAAGCCGGAGAGTAGTCCTGCCTGGAACACTCAAGAGATAGAACGACTGAAAACTTCCGCAACAATAGCAAACAGGAAGGGGGAGAGGGGGTCCCATAGAGGATGAGAAGAAACCTTTTCGGGTTCCATTTATTAGGATTGAGAAGTGAGGCTGTGAGTAGCACCCTCTCATCCACATCCTCCAAAGGTTTCGGAAGCCCATTCTGGCCATAGTCTCCTCTAGGATTCACCAATCGACGTGGTCATAAGCTTTTTCCCAATCTATTTTGATTATGAGACCAGGCTTTTGTCCAGGTATCTTGTATGGATGCACTCATGAGCCACTAAAGCTCCGTCAAGGATCTATCTGTCTTTGATGAATGTAGTTTGGGATGAAGAAATGATGGAGGGGAGGACTTGTTGAAGCCTTGACGCTAGGACTTTGGCAAGTATTTTGTAGGTTGAGTTCAAAAGGCTGATTGGACGGAAGTCCTTGATCTTCTCAGCCCCTTCCACTTTGGGAACTAGGGCTAGGAATGTGGCATTTATTGCTTTATGAAGTTTTCCTCGAAGAAAGAATTCCTCAAAGAAGTTTTTTGAAATCAGGACGAAGAATATCCCAGAAGGCTTTAAAGGGTGCTATCGGGAAACCATCGGGGCCAGGGGCTTTATCTTTGGCTAGAGCATCGATAGCTTGCTGAATCTCTACTTCTGTGAATGGTCGCTCTAACCATGTGGCTCTATAATCAGTGAGGCTCAAAAAGTCGAGGGAAGACATTGTTGTTTTTGATCATCGAGATAGAGTTGTCTCTCCTTCGATAATGGGCTATCCAATGAAAAAAGGCGGTGTTAAGGTCTCTCGCTTTTAACCACTTGACTTTAGATCTCTGGAACTAGTATATCTCTTCTTTTTTGAGAGTGGAAAGGTATTCCAGTTTTGTCTTGTTTCTGAGATCAAGCTCTGAGGCGTCTAGTGGTCTAGACTCCTCGAGACGTCAAGTGTTTGAATCGTGTCCAGCAGCGAGGATTTTTGTTGGGAGAAGTTGCTAGGGATTGACCTACTCCAAGACTGGAGAGAGGCTTTGAGGAGTTGGATTTTAGTCTGAAGAATGTAACCAGCTCTACCCGAGACGAGTGAAGAATTAGAGTTCCACCAAATTTGGATGAGAGAGTGTAAGGCTGCTTTTGCAGCCAGAGGAGTTCTAATCTGAAGGGTCTTGTGTGCATTCCCCTCTAAAAAGTTTAAGGTCATTTGGGTGCAGGTAATGCAAGACTAGATCCTTACGAGCAACTA